CTTTGGCTTTATTCACTTTATAAGCCATTTTAGTTCATATTTTGACCAATTATGCAACTTCATGTTATGAGCTTTTCCAACAACTTGTGACCTTCTTTCTAGACTTAAAATCCCATTTGGAGCAAGTTTGATGTTGTAAGTTTTTCCATTTGAGGCCTCCTTGTATGAGTTTTGGACATAGGTTAAAATGACCTGTAATTCACAAATGCCCAAAATACCCTTTGCTTGTCAAGACCATAAGTTGAGTTCTCCACATCATATGAAGGCATACCATACCATTCTAGAAAGCTAAGACAATGAGGAACAACTCTTATGTTGACCAAGAATTCATTTGAAATCTCCTTGAGGGGCAAAACTAGCTTGGAAGTCAAGTCACTTTCACAGACAAAAATTCAGACACCCCAGATGACCTGTAACTTGCAAGGACCATAACTTGAGTTCTATAAATCTCCTTGAGGTCTTCCACCACTCAAATTAAAGGTCTTGAGATCCTCTACAAGTTTCATGTTGGCCAAGAAGCCATTTGAAGCTAGCATTTTGACTTATCTTGCTTGGAAATTTGACCTAAACTAGGGGATTTTACAGAGAAACCCTAATTTAGTAACTCCTCTTCTCCTTGATTTTTCTTGAATTCTCCTTGTCATATCTCCATATCCTTCTTTATATGTTCAATGATGATCCCCACATCTCTCCAATAGCCTTGAATGCCCCTTTTAAGTCAGTCAATTGACCTAGGGTTGACCTATGGTTGACCCAGATGAAACCCTAGTTGACTGTCTTCAACTGTAGCTCTTGTGCTTTCATCAATGACTTATTTTCTTCTCCAAATGACTTTATAAGTCTCTCATAAGGTCTAGATGCTCTCCATGTCTTCATTTCATAGCTCACAACCCTCTTGTTGATCCTCAGATACCCTCAGCTAGGAGATGGACTCAAGGCTTGATCTGCTGAACTCCTTGCTTTCAAATTCTTTCCTGATGACTTGAGTAAGATTGAATGGGGACAATAACCTCTTGATAGGCCTATAGAGATGAAAATAATGATTGGTCCCCTGTTGAATGACTTGCTATGCTTATGCTATGCAGATGGTTAGTCTATGTACATGACTCTATATGCAAATGCTAATGATAATGAAACATGAATCCAAGGAATAAGGTTGAGCAAATTTTAGGGTGCAACAGTCACGACTCCCTTACAGTATTTGATAGATTTTTGCTATTTGAGGATTTTTAAGAGTGATAACTCTTACAGAATTCCTCTCTTTTGTTATCCCTGACTTTTGTCTGAACTATTTTGTTCGAATATACAGTCAATGGGATGCCCCATTTTTGCCTAAGTATCCTTCGTAGGTTTTGACTTAGCGGGATTTTCAATTTTATTTTTTTCTTCTTCTCTTTTTTTTTTTGAGAAAGGAGGTGACTACCTAGTTTAATGGCTACGGTGAACCATCATCATTTTTTAAACTTCGATACTTGGTTGTTGTGTGCGAAGAAAAACCTGAGTGCACCACCTTTATATGAAAAGTGTCTTGTATGCACATATCTTCAAGTTAACTGAGAACTACCCGCCCCAGGTTTGAAATTTAAGGTTTTTGTTTTTGTAAAGAAAGAAAACTCCTACTTCTAGGTTCGAAGGGGTTAACGAGGGATTATCTTCCTTATTACTCCAGTGTTTAGGGATTGAAACAATGCCTTACATCATCGGCAAAGTTAAATTGAAAGCATATCAACAGGAGTTATGGATATAGTTTTCATCATCCTCCCCAATCCTTGCTTTAAACAACAGTTTAGTAAAGAAAAGAAATTTTTGCATTTTTCGTCATCTCGTAACAATGAAAGGAAAGAGAAAGAGTGAAACGAATGGAATTAATCAAAAGATGCACAAACATTTCATTAATCTTGCCAATTCAAAATGAACATCAGCTTACAAGCAATTCAAATGCAAAGAAAATACAACACAATGTTGAAACAGTCTACAGCTGCCAGCCTTAAGGAATTAAAATTGTTTAACAAAACAAATTTCAAATTGCAGGCCCTATGTGGGGAAACACCTTCAACAACCACATGCTCCTTGTGATATAGAATTATGAGGGGTCTCGCGGGTCCTTTGCTTTTGGATTTAAGAATCGCGGCACTGTTATATGATTTATCCTCATGAGATTTCAACAGCTCTTACAGTCTCAGTTTAAAACCTTCACACTCTTCAACTAGGTGCCCTGTTGTCCCAGTATGATATCCACATTCTACTCTTGGGTGGTCTTCCTCGAGGATCAAGTGTTTTTCAATGATTAGCTCTTGTACAAGATAACCTAATGCGATACATGCATCTAAGTTGTGTCCTTCAGCTCCTTTGTGAAATTCACAGTTCAGGTTCGCATTATGCCATGGTCCTGACACAGGATTGGATAATCGCGGAGTCACTAGTGAGTTCTGAATCAGTAGCGGGTAAAGTTTGCTTAATGGTACTGGAGTTGGTTTACCGCAAGTCTTATTTTTCCTGACATGATTCTTCTTGTTCAATCTCCGGCTTTGAGAACCTTGAGGAGGAACAAAAACCGACTGATGAGAGACTTCAGTTGAACGCCCCAGTGCCCTAGTATGATAGTCCCATTTAGTGTTGGTATCAAAGCTCAAAGGGTAAGGAGGAATTACTAGTTTCAGCTCCTTTGGTATTATCAATCCGCCTTGGATCAAGTATGGCAATATCTGACCATATGACATTGGAGACAGACTCTCTGGTTTCCTTGGTCTTTGTTGGGCGTGTTGACGTGATTGACGGTTATCTGGTTGTTGATACCGAGAATATCCTTGAGTTGGAGGAACCATCGGAGATAACTTATCCCTAGTTTCTCTGGACGCCACATGGTCGGAGTGACCCTCTTTTTTCATCATGTTCTGTAATGTCTCTAGAACCCAATTCATCTGACACTTGAGAATTCTGATGTCCTCTTTCAACATTTCCTGAGCTCTTAAAATTTCATCCATTGTTGCCATTTGTCTCGGATATGTGCTAGGTATCTGAACAAGAGGGAGACAAAGAGACGCAAGACTGAGAAATGCAAATGCATAATGCAAATACAATGCAAAAGCAAACTGGTTTTACAAAACTCAGAAGATTGACTAGGTCAAAACCCTCATTTCATCAATCATTGGAAAAGTTACAAATTTTAAAAATACCAGAGATCGACTGAGTTTTACAAAACTAGTTGCGACATGATATGCTCGTGGTGATATGATGGGATGATGTACATATAACACAAAGGCAAGTATTCACAAATACAATGCATATGCACACACAAAGACATCCTAGGCTCAAGATCAAAGCAAGGAGTCAAAGGTCTACCCCTCCCCAAGGATTTGTACTATGGGCTGTTTGTACCTGCCAAACAGGTTCTAACAGTGTTCCCGGGGTCAATAACCCATCTTTCGGATATTATCAATTTCCCAAATCACTCGGTAATCGATAATATTCTCAAGAGAGTCTCGTCCGAGTGTAGTATCACGTATCAACTACTTCGGGACTACTCCCTCATAGTCATTGCACCACGTCCTAATAAGACCAAAGTGAGGTAAAATGTAACTAAAAAGTCCTCAGTGTCACTGGCTCCTTCGTCGAAAGTGGCAATGTTTTCACGAATACTCGTTTAACAAAACTAACTCTCAAGAGGGCCTCTACTGAGCGGTGGTTTCTCAGGTTAGCTTGGTCGGGAATCAACTCCCTATAAGCCTTCTTGAATATACCATTATCCTATCATAAGTGCACTCGAGTCCGGGTATAGGACTTCCTTACCACTCAAAGCACCCAACATCCACAATATAAACAAATATATTTACAAATATACATGTTAAGCAAATATTCACAAATATAGCATACAATCAAACAAAATAGGCTAAACCCTCGAGTCTATTCCTCAGTGAAGTCGCCATTTCAGTTGTGGTGAGAATCGTGATACCAAGCTATTGATTAACTTGAATCTTAATTCTTAAATTCACAGCCGGACTTTAATTTATTCAAAGGAAAGGTCTAAAGAAAGAAAGAACCTTTTGCGCGATGTAACAACAACGCTAAGAGATTTAGGGATCGGGGGTTGGTTATGCATAGGGTAGATGTTTCACATCCTAAACATCTGTAGTACTCTACAGGAACCTTTTGTTAGTTTGTATGCTAAATTTTCTAAATGTTTACTATGGATTGGGTAAAAGGTGTAGGTTAAGACCTAAAGATAGTTTCTAAGTTTGCTCGTAAAGACATCGCGTCCTCTCACTACTACAAAAAAGCTATTTAATAGCGTTTTTTTTACTTTTTGATAGCGCTTAAAAGCGCTATTAATCAAGCCGCTATTGTAAAACAATATTTTTGATAGCGCTTTAAAAGCGCTATTATAATACTGGTAATTAATAGCGTTTTTCCAAAAGCGCTATTATAGTACCGATATTTAATAGCATTTTTTCAAAAACGCTATTATAAGACACATATTAGATAGCACTTTCAAACAAAGCGCTATTATAGTACTGGTAATTTGCTTTGATTTTAATAGCACTTTCAAACAAAGCGCTATTATAAGACACATATTAGATAGCACTTTTCCATAAAAGTGCTATTATAGTACGTACCATTAATAACACTCTCTTCAAAACGCTATTGTAGTATACCTTTTTTTTACACAAAATCATTCTTAAGATACATAAATGAAAATAGAATAATTTACTTCCGTGGCTTATTAGAGAATGATAAACACAAAGTTAGCAATGATAAAAATGAATTGAAGTTGCATTTTCACAACTTAAAACTGTTAATGTATCAATTATGAAAATGAGAATGATACAGCAACAATATGTAATTGTGGCTATATCCCATTATTATATGTTCAAAGAAAACAAAATAACCAAAAAATAAATGAAGTAACTTAACATCAGAGAGCAACCAAAGTTGCACTCTATATGCTCCATTCTTAACCCGGAAATCACAAAACACCAAAGGTATATTTGTCAAGAGCTATGCTATGGCTGGTTATTCTCAAGAAGAAAACAAGCTGGTTCGCATTTCGCAGTGAAGCTAAATTTTGCCGCGCAGTACTTTCTATGCACTCCGGTCAGCTTTCCTGTTCTAGCTTTCTGGTGTAACCCAACCATCATCTTAGCGCACTCTCTATAAGTCAAAAATAACATAGATGATATCAGTGGCGTATTTATTCGCATATAGAGGATAATTGAAAATAGTTGAAAAGACGATGCTTACGATAGTTGATCTTCCGAGTAGTTGGTGTGCCATTCACAGGTTTTGTTCAAGTGTTTGAAACCGCTAACAGTGCATTGAGCCGTGTAGACTGCAGCAGCAGCCACCAAGGATGGTGGAAACTTCAGCATCCCATAATCCACCAGAGACAGCTCTACCAAGAAAAAAGCTACCATCTCAAGCTGTTCCATAATAGAGTAAAAAAAAATGAGTACAAAATACGGTTAATTAAACCAGATGGAAATGTTTGGGAGAAATACGAGTACTGACTTTTTTGTTAGCTTGAGCAGCCTTGAGAAACTGTCTCATGAAAACATATGCAGTTGGTATAGACATGTTATACTGCAGCGTGTTGAGCATCAGCTTCTCCTGCGGTGTTTGGAAAGAAATCTCGACAATTAGATATATTGAATTGCGAGGATCAAACAAACGGAAAAGGTTATTACGAGATTGAAAGAAAAAATGTTACCATTTGGAGAATTTCCTTCCTTGAGTAAGCTTTGTCAGAGATATGGATTAGATCCGAAACGACAGGAACGGAAACTTCCTCATATTTGCATGCCAAAAGCATGGCAACCAGACCAACTAGCTGAAGTTTCTTTCATACGATGTTTTGCTTTGCCAAGAATCTATCTATGAGATTAATTGTAAGAAACAATGTCTCTTGCATGAGGTTGAATTTGTCATGCACCTGACAAAACCAAACAAGCGCATATGAATATTTAAGCCAGATATATCAAATGAAACTGAAATCAATCATTCGAAAGTAAGAATATTTGCAGTACCTCAATAAGCCAGTCGACTAGTATATCCCTCATCCTCTCATTAAGGTCACCTTGGTCTGCCATATAGTTTGGTGAAACACAGCCAATGCACTGCAGGAAGAAAATGTCTGTCATTTTGCAATCAATTTTGATCTGATCATAAATAAGTTCGATACACATATGCTTCTCAACCTGTTTTTAATATCAACTTCCCTGCGACCAAGAATTGGAGTGTCCACTGTAAGCGCAATCATGATAGGCATTGATATATCAAATCCTAACACATTTGTGGTTAAATCTATCTTGCTTACATCCCTAAGAATTCGCGGCCTGAACCTGTTTTCGGTAAACATAGATACTGAAATAAGGGCTTTAAAATAACACATAAGATTAAATCTAAAGGCTTTAGGAAACAAAGTAGATTACAAAATCCTTGAGAATGCATTTCGGTTCTCTTTCAATGTCCATTCATCTTCTGCCCTTGATGCATAGTAGTCATAAATCATCTTTGGCAATTTTTGTTTTGAAATTGCTTCAAACTCGCTTACATTAGTTATCAAATCCATCTTCCTGATATGAGTAAAACACAGTGACTAAACAACATGAATTCATTTGAATATTTATAAAAGTTATATTAATATCGTTAAATCACAATTAATATCTATGAAACACATACACATACACGACATTGACACATATCATGACAAAGATCAAATCACAATTACTATTTATGAAACACAAACACATACACGACATTAACACATATGAAACATGACACGCACATGTTTAATTTTACATTGCTAGATCTTTTTGATTGGTATATATTATGAAATTTTGTCATGTAATAGTAAAACTGGTGAAAAAGAGGTTTGTGAAGCCTTGATTTTGCACAAAATGTATATTTCCAGGATAAACCAACAATCCTCAAGATGTATACTTCTCCAGCTAAAGTTACTGACTATATTCTGCATTCTGGATTTTCACTATTGCACTGCAATATACCTTTGGTCTTGAAATCAACCTCTCTTTCACCTTCTTTCCCCCACAGCAACAAGTACAGACCCATGATGACAATAAATGAACCTATGATGCTGAAAATTTTATGAGAGTTGAATTTCAGAATTATAACTAATTATGCTAAAATATTATTCAATGATAAAATTCAAATTCATTAGTTTTTTTATTATGAAATGAACTGTGAGTCATTGCATGTTACCTGCCCAAATAAAGTTTTTCACCAAAGACAGAGAATGACAGAATTGCCACAAATATGGTGCTAAGAGGGTTAAACATTGTGACAAAAACTGGTCCTTTCTTCTCAGTAAACCATAGTTGAATGTACATCAACAAACCACTAACAACAATTCCCTGTCATTAATAATAGATAAAGTTAGAATTCAAGATTTTGTAGTACTTGTTTATGACATGATTATAACACTTAACCCCATATATTGTGGAGCATAAGTCAATCTTGAGCCCTATAATCCATGCTGTATGGTTATTATGTTCTGCTATCACTGTGAAAACAGCTGATTGTGCTGCTCCTATAAAACACATCCATGTAGTGAGTGATAATTGAGCAGGGTATTTTTTTAGAGTGGATGCCTGAAATTTCCAATTCCAAGCATGATATTAGACTTGTAACAATTTCTGATTGATGTTTACATAAAACTTTCAAAAACTAATGCGTAGTATTGTAAAATATTTCACTGATAGAATTAAAAGTTCTCTTTACAATGTTGCAACTACATGCTTTAAATAAGAGAGAATAGAAAACCTAATGGGTTTTGACTAATGGGCCTCATTACTAATACTACTAATTACTATTTACAATCTAATATTTACAACATTCCCCCTCAAGCTGGTGAATGGATATCTATCATTCCCAGCTTGCAAGTAAGTTGTTTGAATCTTTCTGTTGGTAAGCCTTTTGTTAACACATCTGCGAGCTGATGCCCAGAAGGAACGTAAGATGTAGTTATCAGCCCACTATCCAACTTCTCTTTGATAAAATGTCGGTCAATCTCAATGTGTTTAGTCCTGTCATGCTGAACAGGATTATGAGCAATACTAATAGCCGATTTATTGTCACAAAACAATTTCATAGGGCCTTCACATTGTATCTTCAAGTCTTCTAGAACTTGTTTCATCCACAATAGTTCACAAATTCCTAGTGCCATAGCTCTAAATTCTGCCTCGGCGCTTGATCGAGCAACTACACTTTGCTTCTTACTCTTCCAAGCTACAAGGTTACCACACAGAAAAGTACAATAGCCTGACGTAGATCTTCTATCACTCACTGAGCCGGCATAATCCGCATCAGTGTAAGTCTTCATAGCTAAATTCTCACCTCTTTTAAACAAAAGTCCTCTCCCTGGAGTTGCTTTAAGATATTGTAGGACGCGGTCTACAGCCTGCAAATGTCTCACCCTCGGATCATGCATGAATTGGCTCACCACACTGATTGCATATGCTAAATCTGGTCTAGTGTGTGCCAAGTAAATCAATTTTCCCACTAATCTCTGATATTGACCCTTGTCAACTTTGTCACTTTCCTCCTCAAAGCTTATCCTGTGATTTTGTTCAATGGGAACACTTGCAGGTTTGCATCCAAGTTTGCCAGTTTCCTGCAAAAGATCAAGAACATACTTCCTTTGAGAGATAAAGATGCCTTGCTTTGAGTAGGCTACCTCAATTCCCAAGAAATACTTGAGTTGTCCAAGGTCTTTCATCTCAAACTCTGCCGATAATTTCTCTTTGAGCAAATGTCTCTCAGTCAAATCATCTCCTGTAACAATAATATCATCAACATAAACAAGAAGTACAGTCAATTTTCCTTCCTGTGAATGTTTAAAAAATAAAGTGTGGTCTCCTTGACTTTGCTTATAGCCCAAACACACCATTGCCTTTGTGAATCTTCCAAACCATGCCCGAGGGGACTGCTTTAGTCCATATAAGGCTTTCTTCAATTTACACACCTTGTTAGCTTCATTTGTTATGCCAACACCCGGTGGAATCTCCATATACACTTCTTCCTCTAAGTCTCCATGCAAGAATGCATTTTTAACATCAAACTGTTGCAATTCCCATCCACATGAAGCAGCAAGAGATAGTAAAATTCGAACAGTGTTCATTTTTGCCACTGGGGCAAATGTCTCCTCATAATCAATACCATATGTCTGAGTATAACCTTTTGCCACTAGTCTTGCCTTGTACCGATCAAGTGTGCCATCAAATTTATACTTTACGGTATAGATCCATTTGCATCCAACCGGCTTTTTGTCTCTTTGCCTTTCAATAATCTCCCAAGTACCATTTTTTTCAAGTGCTCTCATTTCCTCATCCATAGCTTGGACCCAATTTCTATTTTGCAATGCTTCTTCAACTGATAATGGGATTTTCACAGAATCAACAGCTGCAATAAAACTTTGATATTGTGTGGAAAGATGTTTAGTGGAGACATATTGAGAGATAGGGTGTCGATATAAGGAGGGACAAGATCTTTTATCCTTCCTCAAAGCAATGGGTAAATCAACTGGATTAGTGTCACAAGTATCAGAAATAGAACAATCATCATTTGAGGAATCATTTTCAGTACTTACCTCCGGTTCAGACGATTGAATTTGTTTCTGGAGAAGGCCAGATTTACTTCTTCTCTGATATACTAGAGTTGGTGCTGAAGGTGCTGATTCCTGTGGAACATAAGGCATTGAAGGACCAGGAACAATTACTGACTCAGATTCAGGTGTTGAACTAGGACTCAAACTCAAACTAGGTGACAACTCGGGTTCAAGAGAGGGAACACTGACAGGTGTTCTCGGGAGGCTAGGACCAAGGATCAGAAACTCGGACTCAGACTCTAAGTCACTCATGTTCTCCCCCTGAGACTGAGAATGAGTGAAGTATGACACATTTTCATGAAAGGTGACATCTTTGGAGACAAAGAATTTCCGACTCGGAGGATGATAACATTTGTACCCTCTTTTATTGGGTGCATAACCCAGAAAGATACATCTGACAGCACGAGGATCCAACTTGTTGCGATATTGTTTGTGAACATGAACAAAAGCAACACAACCAAACACGCGAGACTCAAGATTATGTAAGATAGGAACAGAGGGAAAACGTGAGAGCATAAATTGAGCAGGACTAATATTACCTAACACTCGAGATGGGACCCGATTAATCAGATAGGCAGCAGTAAGAACTGCCTCCCCCCAATAAGAGGTGGGAACCGACATTTGAAACAGGAGAGATCGAGCAACTTCAAGTAAATGACGGTTTTTTCTTTCTGCGACACCGTTTTGTTGTGGGGTGTCAACACATGTGAATTCATGAAGAATGCCATGTTTACTAGTGAAGTTGGAGAAGGTATGATTGACATATTCTTTACCATTGTCAGAACGAACTCTTTTTATACATTTCCCAAATTGTGTTTGTACCATATTATAAAATTGGATAAATATTTGTGGTACTTCGGATTTAGTATTCATCAAGAAAATCCAAGTTACCCGAGTACAATCATCAATAAATGAAACAAACCATTTTGCACCAAAAATATTAGAGGTAGGGGCAGGTCCCCAAACATCAGAATGAATCACATCAAAAGGTTCAGCACTTTTATTAAAACTGGAAGGAAAAGTTACACGATTGTGTTTTGCCAACTGACAAACATCACACTTAAAAGACTCAACAGAATGGTTTAAAAATAATGACGGAAACATAGACTTAATGATATAAAATGGAGGGTGACCGAGACGCTTATGCTGAAGCCAAATGTGTGAGGCTGAAGAGGAAGACTGAGACT